TWCTYTYYYGTGTAATACAAATTGSCCATGATTGTTGCTCARKTTGAACAAGCGTGCTGTATGCTTAACAAACGGTATATTCTTGCGCTTCTGTGTAATACAAATTACACTTGCTTGTAGCTCAATGTATCGGTACAATTCTGCTAAAATGTATGCATCAAGTGCKTGGCCGTAGCAGTATGTACTTGCTCTATCTTCTGTGCAATACAAATCGCCCATGATTGTATAGCTCAATTTGAACAAGAGCGCTGTATGCGCTTCTACACCTATTAAAAACGCCAATTCATCGCTGGCACCTGTATTTCGTAAAGGAAGTAGAAAACGTTGATTATAYCGTCAATATATAAACACTCCGCCTTCTCAATTCTATCATATCATATTTTAATCAATAATCTCAAACACAGCATGCAAAAGTTTTTCTCACTGAATTGCTGTCGCTGAAAATTCTCAACATGGTCTAGTAAACTTGGAAAACAAATTCGGTTAACCACGCACGCCAGCCATATGGCTCAATTAATGTTAGCTTTACGTCAYTCTACAGACGCGAATATAAATAACCTATAGAAATATTTAATATTTTGTTAGTTAAAAGGAGAAAAAAATTGATTTAAAACGATATGCAAAGATCTGAGAAAACAGCTTTTGTGTGCCCCATGTGATGACGYCATGCTTGCTCAGCTTTGATCCCAGGCCTCTTCTCTTTCATTTTTGAGTGAAGGAAATACTTAGGGTCGAGGATGATCAGTGCCCAATAATCTTTCACAAGATTCATTGTTTAAAACATTGAAAAATAAATAAATGAAATAAAACGCTGTCTATTTGTCAGTATTCACAACATTTGGGATGCATTCATCTGGATTTTTAAGATGTCTGCTCAATTGCGTCGATTGTGTAAAAGTCTTGTTGCACTTCCGGCATTTGAAAGGTTTCTCTCCCGTATGTGTCCTTATATGGTTATTAAGTGTCGTCGCGCCGGCAAATGATCTGCCGCAGAAGCCACACTTGAATGGCTTCTCATTAATATGTGTGACCACGTGATCACGAAGTTCACTAGCGTCCTGAAAACTTGTTGGACAGTGCCCGCAGTGATAAGGTCGATCAGGTGTTTGTGTGCACATATGCATTTGGAGGAGAACCCGTTGACTGAATGTTTGATTACATTGTCCACACCGCCAGATATTGGGTTCAACGTTAGCGTCTGCGAGTTCCATTTGGAATATACCGCTATGTTGTCCAAGACTGTCTAGACGATTCTCCTGTAGAAATGACAGGACAGTGCGTGAGAAATACAATCCTGTCACCAGGCTATTATAAAACTAAGAGGACAATGACCTGGGACAGGAGCTCATTGCTCCTGCCTGGAACAAGGTTGCGTGCTAAAGACCAAAATACATCCAATAAGATCTCACGTATTAGAATCTCAAATTCAATCAACTTTTAGGAGTGAAATGTTCATATAAGAACTTCTTAGGTTCTTAAAATTCAAAAAAATTTAAAATTATGTTTTTATGAATACTGAGCAGAACTCCTAACTCTGCAAACTTTAGAGAGCTGAATTTATATAAAACCTGAGCCTCAGGCTATACTCAGTCCTTTACATACGGTCACTTTTTAGGGTCTGGGAACGAGAATTACCTTAATATCGGTTAGCTCCATCTATATASTGTAAGAACTTGTTCAGRCTGACATGCAAAATCCTAGATTCTTATACGTGGGATTTTCAATTATTAAAGWGCCGRCAGATGCTAAATGTATTTTCGAAGCACTATCTATTGCGATTCATACCTTCGGAATTCCTTCGTAAAACATCTCGTTTTCTNTTGGAATCCGGAATCCCAAGGCTTGAAATCCGGAATCCAATGTTTCGAAATCCGGAATCCAGCGCTTGGAATCCGGAATCCTCTAGTTCTCTGGATTCTCTTACATGGGGCGAAACAAGTGTGCCGTAAAATGCTACCAATGGCTATCATAAGCAAACACTCGTAATTCTGATTGTTGATTTGGATTAATTGGATCGCCAAAGTGCATGGGTGGTGCATGTTTGTCTAAAGGTTAATTAAATAAACTAACCTTGGCTTGCCATAAGCTTCATTAAGGCTGGTATGTCGATAAGTTCGGAGTATTTTTCATCGTACCATACAAGCATTTCCCTGCCTGCAGGGATGTGTTTATAAGCTCGGTAATAKATGTTTCCACAGTACTGAAATACAGTCATGTTTTGCTCCTCTTTGAAACGTGCGCATTGAATGTAACGCATCCAACTTGATGTCCGTTCGTCTTCGCCATTGACGTARTGACTGAATCGGCCGTCTTTGTAAATCTAAGCGTAAAAACGTGCCAGTTAAGCTAGGAATTGATTGATTCAGGATGGTGGATCKGTAGATATGGACTGTATACACACACACAGGTTTTACACAGCTCAGGACGCGAGCTAGTGTGTTGCATGCGCAAGCAACTAATSAAACGTTTAAGGCCTTTTCAAAACTAAGGSAATTAGATAGCTAAATTAATGTCAAAGAGGCAAATGAAAACGCAAATGTCATGAATGAAAAAAATGTTTTCTCCATGCTAGCTGGAGAATAAAAAGCAGGTAGATTTGACTGCTACGAGTTTGCTTAGAGAGCWAAATAATGCTTCAAYCCCCTCATAACATGACAAAAGCGTTGAATGTGGTTCGAGAAAATTCAACTGATKCCCGACTATATATTTCAAACAGCTTACTTCCCACATGTATCTAGTATCAACCCCAGGGCTAATCTCATCTCTTGTTACGATATGTCCTTCATAAGGCCCAATCCATGTCCCTGGTGGGATGGGACGGGCGGCACATACACCAAACTCAGCCCCAGGAATACTCGAGCGGCATAGTTGAACTTCATCCGGGAACACAAGAGCAGCGAGAGGAGTTGATGAGTGTCTTCTTTGAATTTTATCTGAAATATAATAAAAAAAAWTTATATGTTGCGATTACGTGGAGTAATTTTCCTCGTTATCCTGTTCTTTTGTTGTTTTTTCTTTTTTTCCCTTATTTTTCAGTCCAAATCTTATCACAAACCATTGAGAATTTMATCTACTTTAAAATTAAGGATGCATTATTTACTATCTATATCAATAAGATGTCTAAGGTCAATCTTCAGTGTGAAAAAACTTGCTCCAATCTTCTTGCTCAAACTTCTTTGTGGTTTATGTGCCATTCAAAACGGCCCCGTCGAATAAAGGACCTCCTTCCCATGAATCATTGCGTACTTACCCTCAGCTTCTCCCTCGCTGTGACTACTCATTGTTCTAKTTCGCTTTACTCTGACTTCGTCAGGGTCAATAGTTTCAATATCCCGGTGRCCATACATATAAGTATAAAACTCTTCCCAAGTCACTTTGCGATTCCTTTGCGTTCCCGGTACGCTTTGCTGGACTGGTGACGTCATGGCTGGAATTGAAAAGGCAATTTTTAAAATTTTCTGTTCTTTTCGGCTATGTTGGGAACATACAATCAAATCTTATAAGATTCTGAGGGCTGTAAATTATAAAAATTTCTCTTTAAAGATCTCTAGGCATCCTAATGTAAAAAAACCACAATGGAATTCAAGATGGCGGCTGTTTTGTTAATACATCTCATATCTCGAAGAAAATTCGAAAAAAAATGCAAAACCATCGCATTTATCTAATAGTGAAACTGTATACTATCTTGAGATAGCCATAACATCGATTTCTTCATTAAGTCTTTGTGAAATAGTATTGCGTGCCTGCCACAAGTCTTTGTAGCCGTCCAGGAAGAAATACCAGACAGGTMATTTAAAACTAACAGGTTTTTGTTGGTCAGAGAGCAAGTCGTCGATTATTTATCTTGCGCCGAATTTTGCAATTGATTTTTTTTTAAACTGAAATGTCTATTCTTAGGATGTCATCTCAAGTCAGTGATTATTAAGCGAGCATAATCTAGTCGAAAAAAGAACGAAAATAACAAGTAGATTAGTTATTGTTTTTTTTTTCCTGATTTGAGCATAAAATATTTATCGAAGAAAGTCGACAACCGCTGTTTTTTAAGTTAAATTTCGCAGAAAAAAGAAACCATCAGAAATTATGCCATTTTCAAAAGTGATAAACTAAAATTAATATAACGATGACTTTTCAGTTAAAAAACTAACCTTTGGAACAAACYTCCTCCTCAAAAATTTCGACAACACTTCAATTCTTGTTATAACTAGAGTACGTACTCGCAAAACTTCTCTCTCAAGCAGCTTTACTCCGCCTTTTATAAAAAGCCCAATTTCAACAAAAARGCAACACCGGTTTTGATTGGCTGAACAAAACACGTGATGACTTCTCAGCCAATCAGGACAATCGATTTCGGTGTCGGTCGCATGTTTACAAAAGAGGCGCGAAAACCATGTTCTTTTRATTTACGAAATGAATTTTCTTTCTTTGAAGAAATAAAACAATATTAGTTCAATGTTTTCGTTTAAGAAAAAACCTGTTAAAAATTCGCGAGTGTCAACATTTAATTTTATTATCAACGTGAATTTTACTGTAAATATTAGTCTTTTTTGCGCGGTATTCTGCTTGAAAGTCGGTACAAAAACGTTACATTAACAGTTTGGAGTAATCGAAGGTTTAATTGGTCGATCTTTCCACAAAATTTGGAAATATTTCTACTGTACAACAAAGCTTTCAGCTGCGGGAGATGTCAACAATAAGATGCCATATTGCAAAACGAGTGCCTTCTTTTAAAGCAGAGCTTGCTCTTGGTTTAGTAGCTTTCAATAAAAAATAAGAACTCTTTAGTAAACATTA